GCTGCAGTTTTAGAATCAAGTGGAGATAGTGCCAGTGGTCCAGATGGATTCACTAGACCTTTGTTTTTATCAAACATGCTGGGAGGTGATATGCTATGATATTCACAATATGGTGCTTTATTTCTATGGAGATGCATCATTGCCAAAGTACATTACTCACACTAATTTGGTGTTGCTGCCAAAGAAGCCAAGTTCCAGACATTCTCGGACTTAAGACCAATAAGTCTGAGTAATTTCATCAACAAAGTGGTTTCAAGAGTTATTCATGACAAATTGGAGAAATTCCTGCCTAACTATATATCTCCTAACCAGTCTAGTTTTGTGAAAGGAAGGAGTATCTTTGAAAACATCCTCCTCACACAGGAAAAAGGAATTCAAGGGTTTAAGGTGAGGACCATAGGACACAAGTACAATTTTAAGAAAGTGTTTGGAGAAAAATCCCAAAAAGGATCTTTTATCTTTTGGGGTTTATTTTAAATAGGAAAAATGTACTACCATTTGTGTATTATGCACAAACCAAAACACAGATATAAGGTTCTATTACTTAACTATGTTAGTTAATTATATATTATTTTATTAATTTTTCATTTAATTAATTAATATAATTTAATGCATGCACTAGATCTATTAAAGTTTTTCCTTGAGGTTATTTGCGAAGCTTATTTAAAAAGAAAACATGAAAAAAAGTACGATCTCTTATATATGGCATGGACCACAAATAGTCATTCAAGTTTACAAAAATAATTTTTACTTATCTATACTACTTTTGAAACTTATTTACCCTTAATAGTGAAGTTTTACCTTATTTATATGTTGATACATTATTTACCTGTTATATACAAACAAGTTTTAAATGAGTATTTTTAATTGTAGCCTTTTAATGTGGAATCAAATAATAAATGGACGACCTCTTCATCTCTCTCTCTCAATATATATATATTCTTTTTCTGACATATTGTTTCTTCTTTGGGTCTCTATGTTTCTCTTCTCTTTTCTAGTCTTCTTTTTCTTTTCTTCTTAAGAGAACTCAATAATAGATTTGAATACTTAGAAGCAGTTTTTTGAAGTTTGGCAAAAGATTTTGAAATCTAGGAGCCCTAGCAGCTCAACCGAGTTGCGATTCTGCGAAGACTACGTAAAGCTTCGCGAACTCTTTCATGGCTTTGCCGGCCGCTGGCCAGCCACCGGATGGGGTTGGTCAGTCGCCCACTCCTCCCTCACAGCCTTCTAAATCCATTTCACCCACAAATCCAATCCAAAAATACGCTGATCTCTTACAACCAAAATCATTAAATACTCCCATGCAAACCCTAGCCGTCGTTCCTATAAAATCAGTGGAGTATTTACATGGAGAGCCTGTCATATGCTGGAAAAAGGAAGAAGTGAAATAATCCATCGTTAAACAAGGGTTGCGACTAGCAGTGTTGGGTAAATTCTCTCATGGAAAGCCAGTGATCAACGAATTGCGCAAAGTTATACCTCTACAATGTGAGTTGAAAGGTGCATGTTTAGGACTTATTGAAGACAATCATGTGCTAATCAGGTTGTCATTATTGGAGGACTATGTTCATCTACTTTCAAAGCCAGTCTTTATTTGAAGGCACAAGGTGATATATGGTAGATGCGATGCACTAAGTGGAATCCATGATGGAAACCTAATGAAGAAATTCCCATTGTAGTTGCATGGATTAGCTTCCCAGAGTTTCCACTAATTGTTTTTGCTAAGGAATTTATTTTTTCACTTGCAAGGGAAGTAGGTAATCCACTTTATGTTGATTTGGCTACCCAGAATGGCACAAGACCTAGTTGTCATAAAGTTAAGGTGGAAGTAAATTTACTTGTAAAACTCCCTCAAAGGATTAAGATTGTGGAAGAATAAGATGAGAATGGGCCGGAGGAGTCTAAATGGATCAAGATTAAATATGATTACTTGCCAAAATATTGTAAGTCATGTAGAAAGCAAGGGCATAATGAAGTTGAATGCTGGATAATTCATCCAGAATTACATCAAAGGTATGATGACAAAAAGGAGGAGCAAACAACAGGAAAAGATGAAGTAAGTACGATAGCTAACTCAACTAAAGTTTTGTCAAGTGGTAAAGTGGTAGGTAAACCAATCAGTAATAAGTCAAAGAAGGAATTGATGCAAGCAAAAAGAATAAATATCATCGAGATAATAAGGGTTATATAATTGACAATGTAAAGAAGAAAGAAGCTGACAATGGGAAGGGAAAGACCAAAGTTGATGCAGTAGCAACGAAGAACAAATTTGATGCATTAAAAGTGGAAGAATATGATCAAACTATATTGAGGATTACTGAGGGCAAAGGAGAAGACATAGGCAATGAAAAAAAGAAGGAACAAGGGGATAATCAAGCAAAGAAGGTGCATGAGAGGGAGAAGGTGCAAAATTCTGGAAAATCCAGCCCTAATCCTAATGACACTAGGATTACAATCGGGAAAGAAGGAATTTCTAATCCTATTGGAGGATGAATTCAAAAGCTTGAAGAACTAAGGTGTGTGAAAAAAAGAAGCAGTGGAAAAGGTACTGGCCAATGAGAAAAATAAAAATCTACTCCTACTGGGATTGTCAAACATGTAGGTTATGGGACTAGATTAGTGGCAAAAGAAGGAATTACTAATCCTTCAGGAGAAATTAATAAGGTAGCTGGTTCCGCTCCTATAGAAAAAGGGAGTAGGGATGATTTAAGAAAAGAAAGAACAGTATATTGGATGGCTAGAAGATTTGGTGCAGCTCGTGTAGATATAAAGGTCACTACTAATTCTTCATGTCAAGAAATTTCCTCACAAACACTTGATGATAACTCAAAGGGAATTGAAATAGCTGACACTAACACTGATGCAAGGAAAACATGGGGAGAAGAAGTTGAGGAGTTGGAGATCACCAATGCAGCTAATATAATTATCAATGACCATGACATAGATGACACTCCACAAGAACAAATGGAATGAGCTATAGAAGTCCTAGCTATAGGAAATATTGGCAGTCCAAAAACTATGATTGATGATAGTCTAAGTTCTAAGTTGAAGCAATCAGTTCCACCAGCTAGAGGTGATAAAGGATCATCAAAAGAAGCTGGAAATTAAGATGCATCAGCTACTGCAACATTAGCTAAGAAACAGGTTAATGGAACACTAAACTCTAGGAATTCTGGTGAGATTTTGGCAAATGTTGATGGGGTTCCGAAATATCTTTCAAGGAAGGAGCAGGTTGAGAATGTCTATTTGGAGGTATTGAAGTATACAATGGGATCAGATCACCAAACAGTAGATGGGTAGAATAGTGATTCCAATGGAACATTAGTTCCTGGGAATTCTGCTACAGTGAACCTTAGTTTTGGTTCTATTTATGATTTGCAACTTAAGATGATGTAGGAGAAGCTGGGGAGTATGGAGAACAAGTCTGAGTTATTTAAGGAGGCAACAATGATGGCACATGATCAGATTGAGCAAGCCATTGTACCCAGGGAATCAGGGACAATTGAGACAATGCCTAGGGCATGTTCAGGCACTGATCAGATTATGCAGTTGTACCTCAATGTACCAAAGTCACCATTGCAGAACTTACATGATATTGTCATACACAATGTAGCACCTGTGGATAAATCTTTCTTGGATAAACAACAAATGGAAGAAGAGGGAGATGATGAATCAACTGTTGGCAATTTTAAACAAATGGCTAGAGACCCAGATTTATCACCTAAAACCAGTGCAAAGGGAGGCAAGAAATCAAAGAAGCAAAATTAGAATAAGGAATTGCTACAACCACCAAGAATCATGCCCCGGAGGGCAGCCTCACAAACAAAGTAATGATGATAAAGACACTGATCTAGAACATAAGGTCTGTGAATACACAACAGGCCTTTCCTAGAGTGATCAACATGCAAAGGGAGCACAATTTCTTTGTCATAGCACTGACAGAGTCATTTCAAAAGAAACAAGTCATACAAAGATATAAGAGAAGGTTGAATATGGAGACAACCTTTTCAAACACTAATGGGAAGATTTGGTTGTTTTTTTATGCTGTGGTGGAATGGATATTGGTTATTGATACTGAGCAACATGTAACTGTCATAATATTTCACCATGACATTGGGCAACAACTTATGATGACCTTTGTTTATGCAAAATATTCTGCATTAGAGAGACTGGAATTGTGGGATACTTTATATTACATTGCAAATGATATGGAGCTGCCTTGGCTAGTAGGAGGGAATTTTAATGTGATATTACATGATGATGAGAATATAGCGGGATTGCAAGTACACCATCCTGAATATGATGATTTTGCTTTCTTTGTAAACTAATGTGGATTGTTTGATCAAGGGCACAAAGGCAGTCCATTTACATGGTGGAGTGAAGACCCAATGTTGAGTGTATCTTAAGAGATTGGACAGGATTTTTGTGAACTTTCCATTTTAGAATATGATGCCAACAATTGAAGTGGAACATTTGATAAGAACTGGATCAGATCATGCCCTATTACTCATGACATGTGGGGAGTAGACCACAAATTTTGTCAAACCATTCAGATTCTTGAATTTCTGGACAAAACATGCTACATTTATGGAGGTGGTGAGACGGAATTGGACTGCTGATTTTATTAGAGATCCATTCCTAATGTTTAAGCAAAAATCAAGAGGGTGAAGGCAGTATTGTCTAAATGGAGTAGGGATACATTTAGTGACATTTTAAAAAAGTTGGCTATTTTGGAAGATATTGTTAGGATAAAGGAGATGTTGTTTGAGGAGGAACCTACTATAGAGAATAGAATAGTTCTTCAGAAAGCTCAATCAAAATTGAAGAAGTACTTGAGTATAGAAGAGCAATACTGGAAGCAAAAAGGTGGAATGACATGATTTGCTGAGGGTGATAGGAACACTAGTTTCTTTCATAACCATGTTAATGGCAATAAGAAAAAGCTACAATTGAAAAGGATTCATAATGGAGATGGAGCATGATTTAAAGATTAAGAGCAGATGGCTAATGCAATAATTGAATTCTATCAAAGACAGTTCTCAAAGGAGGGAGATCCCACTGATTTTTCTATGTTGGACAATGTCCCAGCTATGGTGACCATGGAGCAGAATTTGGAGCTATGTAGATTCCCAACATTAGAAGAGGTTTTAGAATCAAGTTGAGATAGTGCCAGTTGTCCAGATGGATTCACTGGATTTTTTTATCAAACATGCTAGGAAGTGATATGCTATGATATTCACAATATAGTGCTTCATTTATTTGGAGGTGCATCATTGCCAAAGTCCATTACTCACACTAATTTGGTGCTGCTGCCAAAGAAGCCAAGGGTCCAGATATTCTCGGTCTTAAGACCAATAAGGCTGAGTAATTTCATCAACAAAGTAATTTCAAGAGTTATTTATGACAGATTGGAGAAATTCCTGCCTAACTATATATCTCCTAACCAGTCTGGTTTTGTGAAAGGAAGGAGTATCTTTGAAAACATCCTCCTCACACAGGAAATTGTCACTGACATCAGGATGAGAGACAAGCCTGCTAATATGGTGATAAAGCTTGATATGACAAAGGCATATGATAGAGTGTTATGGAAATATTTGATGTGTGTGACAAGAAGAATAGGGTTTGCTGAACACTTTATCACTATGGTTTGGAACCCACTCTCTAATAATTGGTATTCAGTGTTGGTGAATGGACAAGCATCAGGTTTCTTCAAGTCTACAAGAGGGTGAAGCAAGGAGATCCATTGTCCCCTACCTTTTTCATATTATCTGCTGAAGTACTATCGAGGTCTTTGAACAAACTGTTTGAAGATAATTTTTTTATTGGATTTGGCATGCCAAAATGGTCTGATCCTTTAAATCATTTGGCATATGCTGATGATACAATTATATTTGCCTTAGCTCATCCTCCCTCTTTGAGTAAAATTATGGCAGTATTAGGAGGCTATGAGTAGATTTCAGGACAAGTGATTAACAAATCGAAGAGCTCTTATTGCATGCATAATAATGTTGCACATGCCTTAGTCCAAGTAGTTGGTGATACTACAGGCTTTACTAGAGGGCAGTTTCCATTCACATACCTAGGGTGCCCTATTTTCTACACTAGAAGAAGGAAGGAGTACTATAATGATCTTATCAAAAAAAGTGAAGGCAAACTTACATGTTTGGAAAGGAAAATTGCTATCATTTTGAGGAAAGACAACTCTTATCACTAGTGTTCTTCAAAGCATGCTAGTACACCTACTGTCGGTTTTGAATCCTCCTAAAAATATACTGGAGCATTTGCACAAAATCTTTGCAAGATTTTTTTGGAGCACCAAGGAGGAAGGTAGAAACAGGAATTGGTCATCCTGGCACAATCTGTGCCTACCTAATGAAGAAGGGGGCTTAGATTTTAGATTATTACAAGATGTTTCAAGAGCTCTATTTGCTAAACTTTGGTGGAGATTTAGGACCACTAAATCATTGTGGTCCAACTTCATGTGTAACAAGTATTGTAAGAAGGAGTTGCCTACTGTTGTGCAATTTAGAGGAGGGTCTTATGTATGGAAGCAAATGTTGAATGCTAGGGAAGAAGTTGAGCATGAGATCATGTGGGAGATGAAGAGTGGAACAACCAACATATGGAATGAAAACTGGACTGGACTAGGAGCTCTCTATCATGTGCTACCTCCAAATTTTCAAATAAATGAGGAGTTACAAGAGGTGGCAGAATTGAGGCAAGGAGAATCATGTAATGACTAATTAATTGATCAAAGCTTCCCTAAAGAGATTGCTGATCATATCAGACACAATGTTTATTATGATGGTAGTAAGGATTACTGGGACATACCATACTAGATGCCAACATCATCAGGTAAGTTCACTTTTAGTAGTTCTTGGCAAATTTTGAGGCATAGAGCTGATCCTAATCAGGATTTCAAACAAATGTGGACAAAAGGGTTACCATTCAAGATATCTTTCTTTTTATAGAGGTTATGGAGGCAAAAATTAGCTACTGATGATATATGGAGAAGACAAGGATAAATGGTTATGTCTAGATGTTGGTGTTGTCAGCATCCTCAGGAGGAAACATTAGAACATATATTTTTAACTAGCCCTACTGCATCAAAGGTGTGGAAGTTGTTCATGGGAGCTGCAGGGATTGTTGTGCCATTAATACAAGTAAAACAAGTGATAAGGCATTGGTGGAATGCACAATGTTGTCCAAAGTTGAAGCCATTATTTCAGGCAGCTCCAGCCATCATAACTTGGGAGTCATGGAAGAAGAGAAATGCAGGCAAACATGAAGGATCAGTGTCTAGTAATAGGGTTATCCATGAAGTCAACAAGACATTGCATCATTTAGCAAAGGTTAGGTATTCATGGTTGTCTCCTGTACCATTGTTATGGCCAGACATGATCCAGTTCTTTGAAGCTTATAAACCAATCTTGATCACTAGGAGAGTTACTTGGCAGCTCTCTCATCATGGGTGTTATAAGTGTAACACTGATAGGGCATCTAGAGGAAACCCTAGGCCTAACTCTATCGGCTTCTGTGTGAGAAATAATGCAGGTGATTTGGTGTATACTAGGGTAGTGGAATTAAGAGTGACCACAAATATTGTAGCTGGAGCAAAAGCTATACTACAAGGCTTGGAGTACTGTGTGGAACATGATCTTCACCCTCTCATATTAGAAACTGATTCTCTGGTGCTTAAGAAGGTGATTTAAGGAGAATGGGATCCACCTTGGGCTATTATTCCTGATGTGCAGAAGATTAAGGAGATGAGCGATAACTTCAATGTGATCTTTTAGCATGTGTTCAGAGAAGGCAACACAGTAGTAGATTTTATAGCTAACATTGTTTTTTCTTTTGCAGGTACCACTAAATTTCACTAATTTTCTGAACTGCCTTGTGCAGGGAGGAGGTTGATCAACCTTGATAAGTCACAAACTCCTAATCTTAGGGTTAGGATTTCCAAAAGCAGAGCCCCAGATTGATGATGCTAATAGGTTTTGTTAGAGATAGCTATGTAATTGTCACACATTGGAATAGGAGTAGTATCACCTTTGTATAGAGTAGCTATAAATAGCACCTCTTGTATTGCATCACACACAATATCAATATATATTATATTTTCTCCCGTGCCTTCTCACATGGTATTAGAGCTATCGTGAGAGATTTATCGCTGTGCATAAATTCCAGTGATTCCTGGAAGTGAAATCAGTCACCGGAATCCTTTTTCCAGTGACTTTTAAAGTTGTTTTGAGCCTGCTTTGTCTCGGTCAGTGTTGTGCAAAAAATCCAACACTACCAAAAGAGTAATTACTGTCCAGCGACCAAACCCTAGTGAAAATCTCCGGCGGTACTGTAGCTGTCCAAAGAAAATTTTCCGGCGAAGTTCCGACGTCGCGTGGGCCACCTTTCGGCCATTTTTTGGCGACGACTCTTCAGGACAGATTGTTCCTCTTGCAATTCCGAGCCTACCCATCCAGGTTACACCAAATTCCGACCACTTTTATATTTTTCCGGCGTGAATAGTGATTTCAAAAATGGACTTCCGGCCATTTTTTGAAAAATTCCTTCAGAACAGTTGGGTCTTCTATTAATTCTGATCCTACCCCTATTGTTTTTATTTCATTTCGACCACTTTGAATATTTTCCGGCAGCTACAGTAGCTTTCCGGCTTCTATAGTAACTTTCCAACTGCTACAGTAGTTTCCTATTCTAGTTCAGTGTTCCTTACTCTATTTTCAGTGGATTACAGTTGATTATTTCTCTTATTTGGTAATAATTTACAAGTTGTCTTTGGGAATTGTTGTTTTTGGGTCTAAAAGCATGAGTTCTGGAAACTCTAATGTTATGATTACCTCAGAACCTTTAATGGGAGGTTCAAACTACTTAGCTTAGGCGATATCTGTCGTGTTGTGGTGTAAAGGTCAAGGTGTGCAAGATCATCTAATTAAACAGTCTAGCGAAGGAGATGAAAAGGCGATAGCGCTTTGGGCAAAAATTGATGCTCAATTATGTAGCATCTTGTGGCATTCTATTGATTCTAAGTTGATGCCTTTGTTTCGGCCATTCCAGACATGTTATTTGGTTTGGGCAAAGGCTCGTACCTTATATACTAATGATATATCTCGCTTTTATGATGTGATATCACGGATGACAAACTTAAAGAAGCAAGAATTAGATATGTCTACTTACTTGGGTCAAGTACAGACAGTCATGGAGGAATTTGAGACATTGATGCTAGTTTCTGCTAGTGTGTCAAAACAACAAGAGCAACGACAGAAAATGTTTCTAGTTCTTACACTTGCTGGACTTCCTCATGATCTTGCTTTAGTACGAGACCAGATTTTGGCAATTCCGAATGTCCCTACAATTGATGAATTATTCTCTCAATTACTTCGCCTTGCTGCAGCACCAAGTCACCCAGTGATTTCATCACAAATACTTGATTCCTCTGTTCTTGCATCCCAGACAGTGGATGTTCGGGCATCTCAAGCTATGGAGAATAGACGATGAGGAGGTCGTTTTGGGATATCTAGACCCAAGTGTTCTTATTGTCACAAACTTGGACACACTCGTGAAATGTGTTATTCCCTACATGGTCGTCCACCCAAAAATGCCTACGTTGCTCAGAGCGAGACTACAAGTAACCAGGGTTTTTCTGTATCTAAAGAAGAATATAATGAGCTCCTTCAGTATCGACCAAGTAAGTAGACATCTCCACAAGTAGCCTTAGTTGCCCAGACTGAGACTCCTATTGCTGGTAATTCTTTTGCTTGTGTTTCCCAGTCTAGTACTCTTAGACCATGGGTCATGGACTCAGGCGCTTCTGATCACATATCTGGTAATAAATCACTTTTGTCGAATATTGTATATTCACAGTCTCTTCCTACTGTTACTTTAGCCAATGGATGTCAAACTAAGGCACAAGGAGTTGGAAAGCCAACCCATTGTCTTCTATCACCCTAGATTCCGTTCTTTATGTTCTTGGTTGTCCTTTTAGTCTTGCATCTGTTAGTCATTTGACTCGTGCCCTCAATTGTGGTATATATTTTATTAATGGTTCTTTTATTATGCAGGACCGCAGTACGGGACGGACAATTGGCACAGGTCGTGAATCAGAAAGTCTTTACTACATTAACTCGCTCAGTCCTTCCACAACATGTCTAGTTACAGATCCTCCAGATCTAATCCACAGATATTTAGGACATCCAAGTTTATCCAAACTTCAAAAGATGGTGCCTAGTTTATCCAGTTTGTCTAGATTAGATTGTGAGTCGTGTCAGCTTGGGTAACATAACCGAGCTTCCTTTACGCGTAGTGTTGAGAGTCATGCAGAGTCTGTTTTCTCCTTGGTTCATTCTGATATATGGAGTCCTAGTAGAGTCAGTTCAACCTTGGGATTTCGTTATTTTGTTAGCTTTATTGATGATTACTCAAGATGTACTTGGCTTTTATTAATGAAAGATCGTTCTGAGTATTCTCTATATTCCAGAGTTTTTGTGCTGAAATCAAAAACCAATTTGGTGTCTCTATCCGCATTTTTTTACAATGATAATGCCTTAGAATATGTATCTTCTCAGATTCAATAGTTTATGTCTTCTCATGGAATTATTCATCAGACATCTTGTCCTTATACCCCTCAGCAAAATGGGGTTGTAGAAAGAAAGAATAGGCACTTTATTGAGACTGCTTGCACACTTCTAATTGAGTCTCGTGTTCCGCTGCGTTTTTG